GTGAGTTAGTTAAAGAATTAGCCTTAGTGTCTCATATTATATGTACAGTTTACAAATGTTTAATAAAGCATACGTAACTAGCTTGACAGAGGGCAAAAAAAAAAAAAAAAAAAAAAACAATAATAATTTGACTGTCAAATAACATAATTTCAATTAGTACCATAAACCACTGTATACAATATCCTGGGTATTAATCAATTTATCCATAATTAATTGATTAGTATCCAAGGAGTATTCTACTAGAAGAAAGGTAATATAAATAGCGAGATATTTAATATTTTATTATTATCTGACATATCTCTCCCTTATCCATTCATACTGCAATTTTATTGACTCTAGTTTAATATATCCAGGTAGTTTTTTTTTTTTTAATCTACAGTCAGGTCAACATGGCATGTCTTTATTGTATACATGTTAGATATTTACAAGTTGTTGTGACTTTCATATACTGACTTACTCGTCATCAAAAAACTATTTCTCTAAATGCAACCTAGGGAATGATATTTCACTCCTTTACTAATTTGGATAATTCTTCTAATTAATAAAATTATTGCCTACAGGTCATTACTATAGATTATTCTATGTTTTGTCTGCAGTTAAAAACCAAACCTTTTTATTCTATGACAAACCCAATCTTTAATAATCGCTATATACTTCTTTTTTTCTATTTCTTTGATGCCCTTCAGGTTCGAGTCCTCTGAAAATAATGATAGTTCTTTTTGGTCCTGTTCAGTCAGTTCGTTAGGTCTGGACTTAGACCTCTTGTTTCTTTTGTTCTCTTCTATAATATTATGCTTCTTTTTCCATTTTATTACTTTGGCACAGTGAGTATTTCAGATCTCCCTTTTTAAAGTTTGTTCTCATTTTCGGATAGAGTTTATAGATTATACCCTATATGTTCACTGATGGGATCTTGAGCTGCTCTTTAAGATACTTCTTCAAAGAGATGGTCTTGCTTTCTTTCATGTATCCACAGATGGTATTAAAAAGGCCCCTGTTAGATTTCTGGATCTCTTCTAACCATTTGTTTGTCCAGTTACTTATTTTAGGTTGAACTTCTTCCTTCTCTTTTATTTCTTTACCGATGAGTTTATTGATCTTTTTTTTTACCTTCCACCATAAGTTCTTCTGAGTTTTCCTAGTGGCTAGGCATTCAAAAAGATGTCCTAGTGTCTCTTCATGAAGTTCACATTCTGAGCAAGTGGTTGTGATATACACATTTGATTTCCTTTTCTTAAGTATCTGTAAGACTGGAAGTTCATTGTGAATTAAATTAGTTAGGAAGCTTTTGTCTTTATTGATTTTAAAAGAAGTATCAAAGGTATTAGTTAGATTGAACTAGTTTCAAAAGGTTGGTCAGTCTATAATTTTTTCATTTTGGATCTAAAGATCCTAGATCCATTTTTGTGTTGTTCAGTTTAGTCCAATTTTTTTCTTATTAAACATTTTGATAAAATCTTTGATACCAATTTTTATTGTGTATTCTCTCCATGCTACTATTGTGAGAACTCTTTCTAGCTCTAATAATTGATGCCAAGTTATTGGGTTCTTCCGCCTGGCCTGTTTGGCAAGTAAGTTTACTTGATTGTTAAATATGTTGATTCTGTAGGCTTGATCTTTAGGATTTCCAGATTCAAGTTCTTCTTCTTTACTAGGTCCTTAATCTTATTCCAAAGTGACCAGTTAGTGATCTTTGTCCATCTTCTTGTAGATGTCTCTATTTGTGAGCAGATATATTTCCATACTTTGACTGTAATATTACAGTCAATGTAAATTGTAACTGTTGTATTTTGGGGAACTGTATACAGTATAGTAAGAATAGCTAGTATTTTAGCTCTAGTTGTTGATAGCTATGTGGATGCTTCTGCTGAAAACTGTTTAACTATTTTGTTTTCTCTATCATAATTCAAGCTAAACACATTTTCAATTTACAATCTATTATCCTCTTTTTATAAGAACCATCTGTGTAGAATGTAAGTTGATCAGCCATATTCCTTTTGTTGTATCTCAAAATGCTCTTAAGTTCATCTCTGTATTCTTCTGTTTGTATGGCTTTTTCTATTAGTGTAATATTCCAGTCTTCTACTTGAATCTCTACTTTGACTGGTCTGAGAGTTGATGGAGCCATTGTTTGCTGAAATGTATTTGTTTGCCAGTCTGTAGAGTTTCCTAATAGAAGGATCTGCTTCTTTTTTCTTAGATTATTATATTGATTGAGCTGTGAAAGAAAATGAATCTATGACCAGACTACTTCTAAAGGCTACTTTGTGCTGTCTGATTGAAGATGGGTATTATTACTAGTAGAATCCTATATTAGTTGATATGATATAAAATAGATTTGTTGTTTATGGATATTGTCTTTCCCCATGTATCTATTGGAGTATTAACCTGGACTACCCAGTAAATCTTCCTTCTATCTGGATTTGTTGAAAATGTCACAGTTTATATATTATAAAATATTTATTTCAATCCATATAGAGAGTTTTGTAAAAGATTTTGATTTACTATTATTTTTTCCTCACTTTTTTGTGCCAGGAGGAAACCGGTTTCTTGCATCTGCTATAGAGGATTTGAACTGCTCTCCATTCATTGTAGTAGTGTTGATAAGCTGATCTAAAAACATGATTTTATGTTTTCATAGTAATGAAATAGCTTTTCCATATTCTCTATTTTCTTGCAATATAGATTTGATTGATAAGATATCTCCCTGATAATCAAATATATTTTTTTATCTTCAACTTTGAAAAGTAACTTGTATGCTATTTGCCAGAGCCAGTGTTATAGCTGCCAAGTTTCTTTTCGTCAACTTGTAAGGGTTGATAGAATTACTTAGAATATTACCTGGTTCTCAATATTTGATTTGACTTTGTTTCAGTTTAATTATGGTAACAATATCAGAGGCCTCGTTGTTATTAAGTTGATAGAAAAGTGCAGGTATATGACTTTTTAGCTGTATTTCCCAAATACTTTTGAGACTATATATTCCTTTGGTATGAATACAACTGTTTGGGATTGTTCCATAGATTAGGACCTTATTCTTGAATACTTTTCTAAACATGGCTGTAAGATTATTACATGTTTTTTTACTCAGGTATATGTGTTGTATTCTGTATTCTATTCTTAGAATCAGAATCCTATTGATAACATATCGGGTATGCTTTTCTGTCAGCTTCTTCTTGACTATTGCCTGGACTATTGTTCTGATTTCTGATTTTATAAGACCGATAGTGTCCTAATTTTTTTATCTCAATCCTAACCAGATACCAAAAAATCTAACCTGGTCCTTCTTGTTAATTTCCTGGACTATAGTATTCTCTGTTCCAACCTGAACAGTCCCAAAGACTTGTGGGTTTCGATTGATAGTAAGAAGAATTGACTTTTCTGTGTTAATCTGAGAGTCATTTGCTATATAGAATTTTTTTGTCTCTTCCAGAATCTTTTTCAGGTCTTCCTTGGATTTGACAATCTAGGTTGTGTCATTTATGTAGGTAATTAATATATCCTGGTAGTAATTATTTATTGAGTAACAATTTTCTTAAATACTACTGGGTATTATTTAAGGAAGGATATTACTTTAGGGGGAGTATTGTATGCAGTGGTTTATGGTAATATTAATCAATCATTTTTAATAAGAATTAAATTATTCAAACTAAAGTAAATAAAATTTGTTAAAAAATCATAAAAATAAAAATTTTAAAAGAACATCAATAGTTAAAAAAAAAAAAAAGAGAAAATATATCTTTTTACTATAATAATTTTATATAACAATTTTATATAACAATTTGCTTCAAAGATAAATAAGATTTGAAAATGCTTATAGTTAAAGATAGGTTCTTAAAGAGAGAGGTAGGAACAAAAGTCAAATGTTTTTCACCAAAAAATATTAAAATTTTTAAATTAATAACTATAAAAAAACTATCCACAATTGTTCTCCATTATTCAAATCATTGATTTATAATATTTCTTGACTTTTATCCCTATTAAAATGAAGAGCAATAAATTTTGTTCCTCAAAAAGGGACATACTGTAAGTGATCTGCAAAATTTTATATTTTAAATACTTTAGGAACTCATCATAACTTACAATTGATTCTTTTTTCTTTAAAAACCTTTTCTTGATTAACAAAAGTCAAGCTTATGATTTAAGATGATTTAAGAATAGTATCAAGACTTTATTTTTTAAAAAGTCAAGAATCAAATATCTTTTTTTTTGTAGATAATCAAAGAAAAGAGTTTTTTTTATATTACATGAAAGTTTATATAGATCTATTTAGTAGATATCGCGAATTCTAATTAAATCACTTACTTAATCCGGTTGTCAAACTATTGGCTTTTTCCTGAAAAGGAATTTCTTCGACCTATTTCATCGACAAAACAAGCTAGCCCTTTGTTAATTGTTATTCCGGTAGAGCGCGACATTGTTTTACAAAACTTCTCTCTGTCACATTTTGAACTTCGTTTTGAACTCGAGCACAGACAAACTTGTTTGGAATAATCATTGTGCAAGAAATGGTGCTGTAAGGAATCGCTATTTTGTGAACGGAATAATTAACAAACCTCCGAGTCGTGAATGACAAGTATTTTTTCCTCAAATCAGCATAATCTATCCAAATATAGAAAGATTCATCGCGAGCATTTTGTTTATGTACTTTTACGGTTTGACAAATCTAATTGAATGGCGTAAATCAGCATAATCACATGATGTTTATATAATCACGTGCGCGCAGCAGCATTCATAATTACAAATCAACTCGCTATATGCAGTTTCCAATGCCTGCGGCTTTTCCAAGAATCACTTTATCCAATCAGAAATTATCTTTCGTCGATCACTCAAATTTTCGGCAAAAGTTGAGCCCCCCAGTTTGAGTCACTCTTCATTGTATATATAAAAAAGCCACAAATTCAGTACTCCAAGTTCTTTTTTCACGTCTTTTAGCTCGTCAAAACCCGGAAAAATCAAAACTTTCATAACCTCACAATTGGAACTTAATTGACACAATTATGGCCACTATGGCAACGTCGCCAACGAACGCAACCACACAAACGCCTGTCGCGGGTAGAGGACCCTCAGCAGGTCAAAAAGTTAATGCTTCAGAGGTGGGCTGGCTCTTCGTACACGAGTATTACACATTCCTTAACAAAGAACCAAGCCGTCTCCATTGCTTCTATGGACGTAAGTCCACCCTCATCCACGGTACTGAGGGCGAACAGGTGAAGCCGATTCAGGGAGAAAAGGTCAGTAACGAAAACTTTTTCAAAGATTAAGGTCATTTTCGCCAAGCATGAAGGCAAGACAGAATTGAATCAGTTTCAAAACATATTTGCGCATAGTATGCTTAGATTAAGGAAATCTGAGTTTACAAAGAGAGAAAGGTTTATTGCTGGCGCATACTTTCATATGATTTAATTTGCGTTATTTGCTGCGGCCGTTAATTAAATATCAAAAGCTGGTTAATAATATTACTATGATCATTTTTTTTTTTATTATGTATTCGTTTATTCACTTGTATGTATATAAGATGTGTCGATAGTATTTACTAAAAGAAAAAAAAATTTTTTTTTTTTCTATTTTTATGTTATCACATGTAGGAAATTCAAGAAAAAATCCAAGAGCTTGATCTAGATAATTGCCGTGTTCTCGTCACCAACGTCGACAGTCAATCATCTCTTAACGGCGGAATAGTGATTCAAGTCTTGGGTGAAATGAGTAACCGAAGTGAATCATCCCGAAAGTTTGCTCAAACCTTCTTCCTTGCCGAACAGCCTAATGGCTACTACGTGATGAACGATATCATCCGGTTCCTCAAGGAAGACGATGAAGTGGATGAAGAAGGCGACGAGATCGAGACGGAAACACGACCGACAATTGAGGAAGCCGTGACCAATTATGTAAACGACGAAGAGTTAGGCTCTAACTCGCCCACCGGTACACTTGTCGAGGAGCCCATTAATGGTCGCACAGTGTCGGAAACCGTCAGGGAGGTTACGATTACCGTTACTTCTGGTCAATTTGTAACTCCAGCAGATGAAGCCGCTAGCGTGGCAGTTAATGATACCGAAGCTCATGAAGAGGTTCAAACTCCGATCAATGCGGAACCAACTGAGGTCTCTTCCACTGATAATGTTATGAATGTTGACCAGCCAAGATCCATCCCCGAGGTTCCTAGACCCGTTCACTCGGCTAAACAAGCATCAGTTGTCGCAAATGTATCCGGCCAAACCCAATCAATGTCTTCTAACGTTTCTGGTCCAGCGGGTCCGGCTATTTCTCAAATTCCAACCTCTAAACCAGTTAATGAAAGCACCACAGACGTTCCGCAAAACTCATCCAAACAACCGCCATCTCAAACTTCTAAACCAGTGAACTCTCAAACGACTTCCACCAAACCACCGTTGACCCCTACTACTAATTCTCAACCGGTTTCTAAAAACTTTAATTCTTCTCAATCAGCTACTAGTTCACAACCAGTCACCACCACCACCACCACCACCACCGTCATGGTAACAGGTTCTTTTGTTAATGGACAGCAGGCGAATACGAAACAACCGGCGCCAAACGTTGTTTATAATCAAAACTCACGTTCATCTCATACTGGACCAACATATGCACAAAGATCGGCACCCTCAGTTCATAATGGACAATATAATCAAGCTTCTAGACTTGGAGGCAAGCAAACAATTTCCCAACAAACAAACTCACTCAATGGACTATCGATTTCTCCGTCTGGGAATGGTCAAATAACCCCTGACGCACAACGTCCTGTCTCTCCAACAACTCCATCATCCGAAAGTGTTAACCCCACAACCTCTGTTCAACAAACGAGTCCTTCCGGTGAAGATTCAACTTCAAAGTCCACGGTCGCGAATGGACAGCCTGCAACCAGTGAAGTAAATGTTCATGGTGATTTACAAAAGAATAATCAGGATCTGGAGATTGCCTCGGATCAGAATGTCCAGGTTGAAACATTAGCAGCTGCTCTGTCTTCTGTTGTTACTCAACAAGGTGGCACACAACAACAAAAGTCCCAGGACCAACCCGCTGTTAAAACATGGGCTAATCTGGCGGCGAACGATCACACCAAATGGAGTAACGCGCTAGCAGAGAAAAAGGGACATGTTGCTTCTGTTCCAGCCCCTGCTCCAAAGTCAGCACCCCCACAGCAGCGACAACATGCACGTGACAACCAGGACCGTCGTCAAGACGGAGCCAGGGGAAATAACCGTCGAAATAGCGGTACGTATCTCGTTAACATCGTCTAAAACATTTGAATACCCCAAAAGATTGTATATGTTGACATACATTTATTTTTTTATAGTGGATACCAGCCTTTCTATCTATGTCAAAGGAGTTACCACGTCAATGACTCGCGAACAATTGAACACGGCTTTCAAGGCCTTTGGAGCCATTACTAATCTTGACGTCGTTCACTCAAAGGTAAATTATTCACATACTGTTTATTGATAACCATTGGCACTGGATCTATTATTAATATTTAATCTCAATCATAGTCATGTGCGTTCGTCGAATATCAAAACGTTGATTCATATAAGGCCGCCCTCAACGCAAAAGCTGTCAAGATCGGAAATGAGTCTGTGTTCACCGAGGAACGCCGAGGTGGTCGTCGTAGTAACAAACCATCAAGAGGTCGATACTGAGTAAATATTGAAGGGCTATTATATTGGAGAAACGTGACATTAATAATAGTGTTATGAAAGCGAAATGTGCTGGATACATGAACTTTTTTTTATTTCTTTGTATACTTTTTCCTTTTTTTTTTTTTTTTTTTTTTTTTTTTAATACACGAATTAATTCGCTTGGGTACAATGAATAATGTCTATAAATAGGGTAATAGGTACAGTAAATAACGAAATAATATTTTGTGAAGCTTTTTTTTTTTTTTTTTTTTTTTCCCTAGAAGATAGAGGGCTTATATTTCAGTGCAATGCGGGAGGGATCAGCGCATCAATCTTACTCATCAAAAAAACGAATTTTTTTCATCACCATTAATGTCAAAATTAGTATCACCTTTCCACGCAAGAGAAGAGATTCCCTCCCCATTTTATACTTCTTTTTTTTTTTTTTTTTTTTTTTCCCAAAAGTATTTTATATTTAGTTAGTATTTTAGTCATTTGCCATTCAAAAAAAAATTTTTTATCATTCAAAAACCCGCACCCACACATCAAAATCCCACTAACCAAGAAAGGCGTTAACGTAATAAAGTCATTGCAAATTTAAAATCTTAAGAAACCCGCGTTGCGGAAAATTGCGATGTTTCGTAACTTTATTAAGTTCGATTGGTGCGATTGCGTTAAGTGAATAAATTATCTTCGCACATCTATTAATAAAAATATTCAAATAGATTTTCCATGCATGCGCCCTTAGTAACATCAGTTAAAAAAAAAACCATCAGTAAACCTGCATACGCACGCCACATTAGGCAAATCCGAAAATCTGCGAAATCTGCGGTACACACGACTAAATATATATATTCTGATCAAAGAATTTTCTCTTTTCTCTGTCAATAACAAAATTCCATTCTTTATTTCAATTTTGAACTTGTAGAAAAAAAAAAAAAAATGTCTTTTAATGATATAGAGAGAGGTTCACACGTAAAAGATTACGGCGGCGCCTTATCAGGTGGTTCGTACGCTAAACATGTTCCCTCGTTTTATCTAAAATACTGTCATGTTGTAATCTATCTAACCTTACCATTCGTTTCTCAGAGTCGAAATAGGTCAAGAGTAAATTGTTCTTTTGCGAGATTTCTATAGATTAAACTGGGTTCTCGTTCCTATAGGCGATGAATTGCGTTACAAGAATCTGAGCAAAAATATATCTCAGCAAATTTTCACCATTACCAGTAATATGACTTCGATACGGAATCTGGTTGGTTATCTCGGAACGGCAAAAGACACGCCGGATGTGAGGACAAAATTGTAAGCCTCGACTATACCCAAGTGTTATCTTGTTCATTATTTCTGCGTACGAACACCTTTTTGCTGAACGGAATGTATCGATAACACATTAATAATAGGCACAATTTGACCGAGAGGACACGAGACTTGGTCAAGGATACGAGCAATAACATCAAGAACCTTTCACACTTTGAATCCACTAGTGTACAGAACGTAAGAGCTATAAAATCGATTGTTCTGTCGAGTACTATTCGCCAAAACTAAGATAACATCTCTATGATTGCAGCGGCACCGTAAGGTTGAGCAAGAAAAGCTCTCCAAGGATTTTCAAAAAACTTTACAAGAATTCCAAAAGGTACAAAGGCTCTCGGCAGAAAAACAACGAGAGTACGTTGACAAAGCAAAAGTTCTCAATGTTCGGAATGATGTGTATGACGAGGACTCGGGTATTCCCGAAGAACAGCCTCTCATAGATGATAGCCATAGAAGACTTCAACTCCAAGTATTGGACAATGAGATCGAATATAATGAATCACTGATTGCAGAACGGGAGGTCGAGATTAGAGAGATTGAACAAGGAATCAATGAGTTAAACGAAATATTCAGGGATCTGGGAACACTTGTGACCGAACACCAAACGATGTTGGGTAGGTTTTTCTATTCTAATAATTTAGCACGCGTATTATTTACTACCTTTCCCTTAATCGGATTTCACATGTTCCAAACAGACAACATCGAGAGTAATGTGACTAATATCGCTGTAAATGTTCGGAATGCCGCTGATGAATTGAGCACTGCCAGTCGTTATCAGAAGAAAGCACGTAACAGGATGTGTTGCCTCATGCTCATCTTTGCTGTGGTTGGAGGGGTCGTGGTGTTGGCTGCCTTAACATAAATGTTGTTTGGATGTTCATTGGTTGATATCGTGGGATCCTTATGCCGTAGTTAATTCTTCAACCTTCAATAACCTTGTATTTTTACTTCACCGTCAATTTTTTTTTCTTTTACATATTATATTTATATTAAAGGTAAAGGACATTATTAGGCATCATTGGGTTATCCTGTAAGTAAGTCTACGATATGTTTATCAAGTGTGGTTGGTTATATTACATTACTGCAAAAATAGTTGTTGCATTTGGCATCAATTTATGTCAGGCTTTATGCAAGCACTGGTGCAAGTTAATATCTCAAATTAAAAATCACTTAAAACGATGATAATCACAAAATTGAGGAAACTTTCTTTCGACGCATGTAATTCCCGACTTGTAAAAGAGGATTACTAACCAAAACGACTATTCTAATATCTTTATTTGACATCAATTATTAAGGTTCGATCATTATTCTTTATTAATTTTCGATCGTTATTAAATAGAAGCATTAAATCTTAATTATTTTAATTTAGAAGTGGTTTTGCATTGTTTATTTTATTAAAGTATCTATTAATAGTTTAGGTGAACTATCATTTGCAGATCATTACCACAGATCACCAGCAGGAGTCAAATCCAATTACTTTATATCATCATTTGTTAAATTCTTCATGAGATCTTCATTTTCAAATTTTTCTTTCTTCAACTTTTACGTGGATTTGATTTTGATGGATTTTTACTAATCAGAAACATCTTTTGATCTTTTTGGTTTTAAAATTTTCTAAATTTATTCTCATTTCATTGCTTTTTTACATCTTGTATATCGGATTTCTTTTTAAAAATACAGTAGATCAAGATCCATTACTTAAATTTTAAATTAATTTTTTTTTAAGGTATAATAATTCTTTGACTTTTTTTCATAATATAATAATTTCTTGATTTCTTTAGTCATATTATTTTTTATTAAATCTATATAAAAGTTTAATATATAATATTTTAATTGGTTATAAAGATATATTTAATTAGTTTAAATATTAAATTAATTATTTTTTTAATTTTTTTCTATTAGTTACTAATAACAATATTTTTTTTAAAAAAAAACTCTTTCCGCAAATCTCTCAGATCCTTAAAAATTTTCTTTTTAGGTAATTTACCCAAGGAAAGAGAAACATCTATAATTCAAGACACATATTCTTGCAACATCAGTATACAACAGTTATTTTAGCACAAAATAACATTTCGTACATAACCTTAAAGCAGTAAACTATTGAAAAATATATACATACAACAACAACTTTAACTTTTTCTCTTTTTAAGAAGAAGAAAAGAAACCAATATAAATTGATTTATAGTCAGAAAAGAGGAGTCAATATCAACTTCACCTTTTTTGACACTATAAGAAATCTTAAAGAAAGTAAATTTGCTTGATAAATCAAGCAAACCTCAAATCCCTCAAAACCTAAAAGGACATCAAAGCTCCCTAAGGTTTAAACAACCTAACATGCATACCCCACTCTGCAAACAGCAAAACATCTAACCAAAGTAATACAAACATGTATATATATAGATCTGTTATCAAAACTAGTTTGATAAAGATCTATTATAACAGTACAACAAAAGTAAATAGATTTGATAAGATCCTTAATCACAACATTATCACAGGATGTAATTCATATAAACAAAATAGCAGGAATCTGTAATACAATATTACAAACTAGTGTAAATAAGTAAACAATACTAGATAAAGAAAGAATAAACAATATGTATCTAATCAAAACAAAATTAAAATATAAATCAAAATAGTGAATTATTAAAATAAGAAGCAAAGATTTTTTAACTTTACTTGATTTTAGCAATACTATATAATTTATCCCCTATTAGCTATCTTTATGTACACAATGAATAAGATAGAGAAGATTCTACAAATAATGAATAATAGAGAAAAGGATATTATAGATATTCTAATTCAACTTGCAAGAAAGCATAACAAACATAATGAACTATGAGTTATACAACAAATAATCAGACAGAGACAAGTCACCATTCAAGTAGAAGAAGAAGCACCAGCTCTAGAAACTTGTATAATACTTAATAGCATTATTGCAAGTATCTTAGAAGTAAACAAGATAATATTTCATAAAAAACAAATTTTAATACAACATATAATCTATCTCTGGCAGCTTGAAAAGTGAAAAGAAGAACTTCTTGAAATAATCAAAAAAGAAAAAAATATATCAAAAAACATAAAAACACTTTTCATAGAGATCATCACTCAGATAGAAAATAATCTAACAGTAAACAATAAGATCATAATGTCTAATGTTCAAGAACAAGAAAAGATAAAAAAGAAAATGGAATTCAAAATATTGAGAGAAAAGAATTAAGAACAAAATATAAATGAATATAGTTCATATAGTACAAGAAACAGAGCTACAAATTCCACTCCAAATCTATATTATATAAGTAAAAAAAGAATATATCGATTAGAAGCTATAATAGCAAATATTCTAGGAAGCTCAGAAAAGAAATCTAGAACTTATCTATACAATACCTTAAAACTATCTCAGGATAAACGAAACCTTCTTTATAAAAGTTTCATTGATGACAATGAATGGTTAATTCTTCACTTCAAAGAAGAAAAAGATCTCCTTAAATATTTAGAAGAGGTAAACAAAAAGAAAGAAATCTTCAGTCTCTAAGAACTAGAACCAGGAAAAGAAGAATACATAAATCAATTAGCTATAAACAAGATAAAAAAAAGATATTTTGAACCCACAATCCAAAAGAAAGCAAAGACATATAGTTAAAACAAAGATCAGAGTAAATACCTACCTTAAGTGGCATAAATATTTCAAAACCAATCCTGAAGAAATATGAATAATGTCACTTGGAATAGAAATGACAAGAACAATCTTCATTAAAAAAGAACTAACTGATAAGGAAATAAATAAGATTTTGATTAAACAAAACAAATACTTAGCCAGGCTCTTAGATAAAAATAAAATACTCTTAAGTTTTATAGTCAAGGCACTTAATGGTACAGAAGCTAAGGCCTGTTATATATCAAAAAACCCTTATATGTTGAAAAAACAAAACTTTACAGTAGTATATTTTGCAACAAAAGAAACACTGACAAGAGCTTTCAAGCAGTATATTTTCTTGCAAGGACTAAGACTATCTTGGAGCATAAAAGTCACAGGAGAAACTATAAGAGATTTTAAATCTAGAACTGAACAATTAAGAGAAAGACTGGAGTATAGAACAGTAGAAACAGATATCAAACCTATAACATATTTGCCATCAGATAGTGAACTGATAAGCTCTAATACAATCATTGAACATAAGTGGTCAATCAATAAAAGGAAAAGGTATCAAGGTCAGAATAGTAACACTTCATAAAGACACTATAGAACCCTAGGCTGCCCGTGACAAGAAGTAATAAGATATCATTGAAAAACCTTAGAAGTCTACCAGAAAATCAAAATAGGAGACAATATAATAAACCAGAGTTTGAAGATGAGCAAGACTCACTAAAGCTCATATTGACAAACCTGGAAAAACTGAATGGAAGAATTGTCAAGCTTAAAGGCAAATCCAGATTCAGCTGACAAAGAAGAGAAGGGTCAGGATAGATTGATCACTCCTAGAATATCACACCAGTTAATCAAGATAGATATGAAGAGAAAAGCCTGGTTCTTCCTCAAATAAGATTTATAACAAGGGCAAAGTATGAACTATAAATTCAGATGAAGTTGTAAGACAAGGTGATGACCTAAATATAGATAAATTCCTACAAAATAAGTATATTACCTTTTTAAGAGGTCAAAATATAAATGAGCAAATAAAGAATACAAAAAGAATAGAAGATAATATTCAGAAAAGAATGGCAAGAATAGGCATATACAATATTAGAAATATAACAGACAAGACAAATCAACAAAGTCTTATTGAAGAAATATAGGAACAAGAAATAGATATAATGGAAATATGTGAAACTAAGTTGACTCAAACCAATATAAAATGGGTTTTTGAAAATCAAAAAACCTATAAGCATTTCTATAGTATCAATAAAGACATACCATTTGAAACAGGGTCAGTTTTCTAATCAGAAAAGATTTGAAAAAGAAAATAGTATCAATATAAGAGAAGGAAGGTTAATAATGGTAGCTAACTTCCTCATGAAAAAGAAAAAAGTCTGTATTATACAAATTTATATTCCTTCAGATAAACAACAATGCAAATAGATATAAGAGAGGTTAATTAATCTTGTCAAAAGGAAGCAAAGACAAAGTTTTCATATAATAGTAATGGATGATTTCAATGTTATCTATAATTCATCAGAAGATAGAACAACAATTTCCAAGGCTAGATTCAAAGCTTTTTGGTATCCTGAAATTCCACTGTTCAACTTTTTGAATAAATAGGACTTTATAGATACCTAGGCAGTATGGGAAGACAAAAATAAAACCCCAACATGGTGGGATGTCACAAGCAGTAGTAGAATTGATTATATTTGAATATCACAGGGTCTAACAAGATATCTTCATTATTGCAATTTAATAATCAAGAAATACAAGAAGCCACAAGAAATAATTATACTATGCTTATAATTAACCTCTATGATGAAGACCTCTTTACAAAAAGTCTAACTATCAAATAAAAAACATAAAACAAAAGATAAATCAATATAAATCAATATAAAAGAATTTTTATTAGAATAGTGGCAAGTCTATTGAAAAAACTTAGATTATAAGTTTAAGATGAAACTGAAACCTCTTCTCCTAGAAGAACCTGAAGTAGACAAAGAAGGAAAACTCACAGACAAGATTTGGAAAGTTTTTGAAGTACAGATGTGTAAAGCAGCTTTTAATAAGCTTAAAACTAAAAAGACCATATCACATAAAGAAAGAAATAATAGACACAATCTTGAATTCATTAAATACAGAAAAGTCTTACAACTAAAACAACTTCGAAAGAAAGCAGAAACTTCGAAAGAAATAGAAAAGCTATAAAACCTTTGCAAGGCAAT